GACAATGAGGAATACTGAGAACTCAAGAACAATGGCAGTGGGTTTTTGTTCCTACTGCACGTACTGGCTTTGGGGGAGCCTAGGCAGTTTGGATGCTCACCTTACTAGACCTGGATAGAGGTGGGCGGTCCTTGGGCTTACCACAGGTCAGGGAACCCTGATTGCTCTTCGAGCAGATGAGGGAGGGGGACTTGATCAGGGGAGGGGGAGGGAAATGGGAGGCGGTGGCGGGGAGGAGGCAGAAATCCTTAATAAATAAATAAATTAAAAAAAAAAAGAACTCACCTCTGAGGGACTTTGTAAATGTAAATCAAATTAACCTCCCAGAAGACCTGTTAGACATTGGGCAAGGGCTATATATTATAAAAATATAATTCTTTACGTTTCCAAGTTGCTCAATCAACAGAGCCAGCAGCTTCACAAAGGGTTCACTTGTCTTACATCAGAGACAGCGTGCAGAGGAGCCTGTCTGCTGTGGTGGTTAATCCTGACTGTTAGCTTGCTAGGATTTAGAATCACCTAGGAGACAAGTCTTTGAAGGATGTTTCTAGATCAGGTTAAATGAGGTAAGTCTACATACGCTAACCCCAGTATGGATGGGATCATTTCAGAGGCTGATTCCCGAACGGAATAAAAATGAGGCAGCAGGCTGATCATCAAGATTCATCTGTTTTAACTTCCTGGATGCAGCCCAAGCTTCTGCCTTCATGAATTGTCTGCCAACATCTGTGCCCTTGAGCTGTGAGCCAAAAGAAACCCTTCCCATTAAGTTGCTTTTGTTAGGTGCTTTGTTGCGGCAATGATAAAAGTAACTTAACCCGGTAGGCCACAGCCACATTGCAATACATAGATTACTAGAAATGGGTTAAATTCAGATGTAAGAGTTAGCCAATAAGAAGCTAGAGCTAATGTGCTAAGCAGTGATTTAAATAATATAGTTTCTGTGTGATTATTTTGGGGCTGAACAGTTGGGAACAAACAAGCGGCCTCCTCCTACAACCAGCTACTCAATAGTGTATACCAAGCCTTCAGCACGAGTCTTTGCAGTCAATACTTGATATCCAAATCATAACAGACAGTCTGAAGAGGCAACACTACAGATAGCAAAAGGGCTAGTGGTTAAGTGGGAAAAAGTGGGGACTGCAGGACAAATAGCATAGGGAATCTTTAGGATACTATAACTACTCTGTGTAATACTGTAATGCTGAATTCATGCTACAATGTTTATCCCATCCCAGAGGACTTACAGCCCTGAGAGCGAGCTACAGTGTGTACCATAGACTTTAGTGCTGGATGGTGTTGATGGAGTCTGACTGATTATAACAAATGTACCCCTCTGGTATAGGTGCTTGCAGGGACAGCTGTGAAGGGCTATGTGACACAAACGTGCTGTGACCTAAATGTCCAATGGATTTTAGAAATCCATTTGAAAAGCTTCATACCTAGCAAAAAGGAGTGACAACTGACATCAAGGTTTCATGTTTTAGTTAAGAGATCTTGGCCATAATAATACAGTAGATCCTGTTGGATTCCTGCAAGGGAAAAACCAATTCCTGGAGGTCCTTCTTCTGTGGATCCTTTCTTCCAATGTTAGCAGAAAACCCTAAGTGACAATCAGAATTCAATCATCAGCTCGGTGCAAGCTGAAACCCTGGACTGCAGGGCAGCTTATGAGCTTCCCACATGTGAGAAGATCAGCTGACGGTTACAGACTCGGTTCTCTGCCCGGCGCAGAAATCATGATGGCAGCAGCAGCAGCTCCTACACGGGATCATCTTTTCATTGCTGACATATGAGTCACTCTAGGTATTGGAATAAAGACACGGTGGCACCTCCCAAAGGGAAGGACTGCAGTATGCCTTAGTACTGAGACAGTACGATCAGAAATACTCAGGAATACTTGCATGAAAAACGGGGCCCTTATTCTGAAGGGTCTCTTCGGAATCCCAGGGTAATCAGAACAGGGAATGAAAACGCCAAACTCCTTTCCCTTGAGAGGATGAATATGATTAGATGTTCATTTACCTAAGGAGATCTGCATCACTCGCATGTCCCCCTATGTGCCACTATAGTCAGAACTCACATATGATCATCCCAACCGCTTAAACCCATCTGCATGAGCAGACAGCCTGGAATGGACAGGACCCCAAATACAGCCTCTCCGTTCTTCACTTTCCTAGCACAACAAGAGCAGATGGATCTTTGATTTTTCATCAGTGTTTTTCACTCCACCCATATTAAATCACTTTAGTTAAGACTAGAGCTCATTCTTCCTTATACACTTTATTTATGAGGGGTCTTTCCCCATTCCCTCAGTTCCAATGTTTCATCAGTGAAAAAACCAACCTCGATCCCCTTTCATTAAACAATTCTCTCCCCCATCCACTCAATTCTTCTTGAATTTCTTTGCCTAGACAATTCTTCCTTTCTTCTTTCTCTCTCTCTCTCTCTCTCTCTCTCTCTCTCTCCTTCCTTCCTTCCTTCCTTCCTTTCTTTTACAAATAAAAACACGAAGCATCCCACATACAGGATACCGTAAACACTGGTAGCCGAACAAGTGCAACTTCAAAAGTAAATACAAAGTAAGAGGCAAAACCTACAAGCATTTTGCCATTTGGAGAAAATAGTTGTCCAGAAATGACCCCATCCAGACACAAAAGTGGCTCTGTCCCCTAGGGAGGTGGCGGTGCTCTGCTGTGCACTGTGCTCCCTGCGTCCATCTCAGAAATCGCCCAGCTCAAACTCAAGCACACAGTTTGAGCTGAAGTCTGTGCTCTGAACATTCATTCTCCCGAAGACGCACACCCTGACTCTGAGGATGCCCCTCTTCCTGTGCTGCCCCCACAGCTATCCTCAGGCCTGTTCGCTTTCCCAAGGGGCTGGGTAAAGTAACTTTCGCTACTGTACCCAGTCACTTCAATCTTCAACTTTTGCCGTCACCTTTCTCCACCAAGTAATGCTATGTCTCTGTTCTCCAGGGCCTTACTGGCTGGGGTTTATCATCAATTACACAGCATACAAGGACACTGAACAGTCAAGGCTTGGGTGTAGGTAATCTTGCTAAGATGCTCTGAGACTCTAGGTAAAGTCATTTTTCTCATGAAGCTGTTTCTGTGCACACAACCCAGCCTGCTTATTCAGGCACTTGCAAGAGACACATGAGCTCAAAATCCATTTTTTTTTATTGGTACAGTCCTCTCACTCATAAAGCCAATAACCAATTCCAAAGACAGTAACTCAGTCCTTAGTCCTGCAGGGAGCACTAAAGAATGTCCCAACTTTGGAACAGCAGGCAAGGCTGACGGGAGACAACTAACTACAAATGACATTGAAATTTAGGGAAGGGTGGGGCTGAGGGTGCAAAAGGAGCCTCCTCTCCCCAAGGCCTCTCTCCCAGGCTTTCCTTTAGTCACCAACGTCCCAAGGCACTGGCCAGCTTTCAGACCGCTTCCTACTCAAATCCCATGAGTTGCAGCCACAGCATGGTAACTTATTTGGGGAATGGGGTAGTTCATCAAAGACCTAGTTCATCAAAGGCTGAAGGCAGTGAAGCAACTCCAAAGGACGAAGAAAGCACTGGTCACACCTCAACACCACACAAGCAAACAGTCATACTCCAGTGGCCATCAGTTAGCACAAAGCAAGCACCATTGAACAGAGGCCTGGACTGGTCACTGTGAGTGGACAAACATGTTGCACCAACGAAGTCAAGGCCAGACCTGACCTCAAATACAAGCCCATCAGCTTCCCACATGTAACTTCTGGACAGATAACCTTAACCTGTATTCTGGATGCTGGCCTTGAGCCTCACCAAGACACCAACGGTCACCACAAAACCCAGGGCTGCTTAGTTGCCCTTCAGTCCTTTTCTGAGCAAGAAAGATCTCACACCAACTCTGACTGTGATGCTGCCACAAAACGAACACACCCTTTTAAGAACATTCTTGTTCTTCAGTTCTGGAAAGAGGGATTTCCCAAACCTGAATTTACCGCCATCAAGTAGTATACTATACAGTACTTAATGGAAACAGACAGACTTCAAGGAACTAACCATGTTCTTTTTTTTTTTTTTTTTTTTTGGTTTTTTGAGACAGGGTTTCTCTGTGGCTTTGGAGCCTGTCCTGGAACTAGCTCTTGTAGACCAGGCTGGTCTCGAACTCACAGAGATCCGCCTGCCTCTGCCTCCCGAGTGCTGGGATTAAAGGCGTGCGCCACCACCGCCCGGCCACTAACCATGTTCTTTAAGGAACTTGAAGCAAACAGCTTACATGTAGCACTTATGATGGAAAAATGTCCAGGGTGGAGGACCGACTCAAAGGTCAACTTCTACCACAAAGTAAGGTAATCCCAGATACTGCTGTCTGGCTTGACTCTGCACACAACCGAGGAAATGTCAGAGGAAGAAGCTGAGGAGTGATATGGACTGTCATATACCACACATGTAAGAGTGAACAGATCAAACCAACAGGCAAGGCCTGGACCTGACCCTGGGGAGGACAGTAGTATCATTTTCTCACCATGTTTGAGCAGCTAATGGGCTATTTAAAAAAAGAAAGTAAGAAGAAAGAAAAAAGAAAGGAAGAAGGGAAGAAAGAAAGAAAAAGAAAGGAAGGAAGGAAGAAGGAAAGAAAGAAAGAAAGAAAGAAAAAGAAAGGAAGGAAGGAAGAAGGAAAGAAAGAAAGAAAGAAAGAGGAAGGAAGAAAGAAAGAAAAAGAAAGGAGGGAAGAAAAAAGGAAGGAAAAGAGAGAAAGAGAAAGAAAGAAAAAAAGGAGAAAGGAAGAAAGAAAGAAAAAAGAAAGGAAGGAGGGAAGAAAGAAAAAAGAAAGGAAGGAAGAAAGAAAAAGGAAGGAAAGAAGAGAGAGAGAGAAAGAAAGAAAGAAAGAAAGGTGAATATATTGGTGCGAGAACGCGGGCAGGGTCTGCACAGCTGATGATTCTATTGAGCTCAGCGCAGTCCTCCCTGGCGCTCACAGGAAGGTACCAAGCAAATCTCTTCTCACCTTCAAGGCACCACATCTCCTGCCATATCCACAGCACCACGCTGTCCCTGGGTGCAGTCCGCAGGCCCGGCCTGGAGCCATTCTGCCACCTAAAAGGTTTTTTTTTCTCCCCAAACGAAGCCTCAGTTTGGGCTCTGACTCCCCTAGGCCAAAGGCTGCACTAACACGGCTGGTCACTGATCTCCTGCTGCAGACCTGTGTCCTGTGTCGGACTGTTCCTGTGTTGATGAAGAGCAGTGCTGAGTCTGAGCTCCGGGGACTCCTTTCAGACATTCTAGCCGGATGGCACGTGGCTACAGCACCCAGGAACTGCCTTTCATCCACCCTGGCACACCTCCTCGGCAGAGGACACTTGCCTTAGCACACAGACTGTCTCTGGCCTTTGGTCCTTTTGCTGTTAAGCAATTTGTCGGAGGCAAAAAACCCACCCACTGGGTGTAAAGATGTGGGCTTCTTGTGTCAACCGTGAGGCGACAGGAGTCCACTTCCTCTCCCGCAGTTGGACAAGACTCAACCAACAGCAAGAGACCCAACGTCTGTTTACCAGGGCCGGCTAAACTGGTCGTCTGATTACCAGAAAGCTCTTCACACGGCCAGAGACAGACTGAGAAGGGGCACAATAGTGACGGAGAGGGGATGGAAACAGATAGGAGGAGTGGGGTGAGAAACCAGGAGGCCAGGTTGGGGGCGCCCACAGAGAAGAAGCGCTCTGGCAAGGGGCGGACCCTCTGGAGAGGGGCAGTCCCTCATCTTGGAAGTCATTAGAAGCCGCCTGAGAGAGTGGAGCATTTAGCCGGTCAAGTTCCTCCACCTGCGGGGGATGATGCATTATTAGCTCCTGGTCTTCCAAGCCGTCCTCTCCGGCAGCCACCAGATTGGTAAGGGACTTGCTGCGAAGACACTGGAAAGCCACATGGCGACTCTTCCCTTCCTCCTTTTCCCAGGACATCTGGATAAAGGGGCGCTGCACCTCAGACCTCCCTCGAGGTCTCCTCTTAATCTTTTCTTTACAAGTAGGATACCCTTCAATTTCAATGCGAATGTTCTTCAGGCTCCGGTCCTTTAGCACTGTTTTAGCAACATCTCGGTTCTCAATGTACTGAAAGAATCTGTAGAGCTTGGAGCTGTAAAGAATTTGGGAATACTCTTCCTCCATGAGTGGGGGGAGGGGGTGTCTTCATCCCAGTCCACAGAATCCTCATCTGTCAGCACGACAATGTGGCACTTTCGCTCCCCTTTCTTGGCACAGCCCACCGTGATGGGCAGAATCAGTTCCTCGAGGTGGTGATCAAACTGCCTGTGAGCACCGTCGTTGGGCAGCTCATGGAGTAAAGCCCTCAGATCTTGACAGCGGATAGTGTTGAAGTCAAAGTTAATGCGGAGATAGTCACACGTGTCTCTCAGATCTGGGAATGGAGATGCCTTCCGGACAGTTGCTGATGTCAGTTTTGTAATAATCCAGTACTGTGGGGAAGGCACTGAACCCTTCTGCAACCTCCTACTCCCTCTTTTCCTTGGCCCTTGAGAAGTTATATTCTCTTCCTGGTCCAAACATTCGGGATGAGCAGTGAAAATCTGGGGGTTCACCACAAAGCGTGTGCCATCTCCAAGAAGCGTCACTTTTGGGGGGCGGGGGGGGGGGGGGCTTGGGAGTGGGAGCGAGATCTACTTCCGAAGCCTGCGCCTCTGTTCCCAAATCTCTCTGAAACGATCAACGAACAGCGGCTCATCGCTCCGCTTGCTTCCAGTCTGGAAGCGTGAGCCCTTGCTGTCTGCAGGAAGTGGCATTGTGCGAGGATACTGAAGGCTTGCTGGCTGCGGGGCATAGTCAAGTGCAAAGTCTGAAAGATGAGACAAATAAAAAGTAACTAAAGCGGAAAGATCGGTCCCCCGAAGCCACGCTCTTGGCCCCAAGCCGCATCTGGTTCCCGCTGGGCTCCGGCCACCCCGTGTCCCTGCCCCCACCCCCGCCCAGTCCCTGCCTAGATAATTCTTATAATTTCCTTTATCACAACTAAACTTCTGATTATTCATCATAATAAAAACAAATAGATATTTCTGTAATGTCATATAATATCCTTCCAAATTCATTTCCAGTATCTTTTAAAAACAGGTTTCATTGGACTCTTCTTTATCTTACATAAATAATTCCCATGAACATAGGAATTGTAAGTTACCCATATGGATATGATTTGGTCAAGAGGCAACACTGGCCATACTATTATCTACAGATTTTACTCATTATTTATATGGTCACTTCTTTTTTTTTTTTTTTTTTTTTTGATTTTCGAGACAGGGTTTCTCTGTAGTTTTTGGTGCCTGTCCTGGAACTAGCTCTTGTAGACCAGGCTGGCCTCGAATATATGGTCACTTTTTAAATTGTGCTTTGGGTATATAATACAGTGCCTGCACAGCATAATGATCAAAGATTACGTCTTCAAGATCAGCTTTGTCTTATACCAATTCCAAGTCAGCCAGAGATTCCCAGTGAGGCAATATCTCAAAAGAAAAACAATGACAATAGCAACAAAACGGTTAGCAGTTTCTCAGATTAATATCAAAGAGTCAGAAACTAAAAATAGAACAATTCCAAGCTTCAGTAGCTAAACAAGAGTAAATCAGCTAGGTGGTAGTGGCACATGCCTTTAATACCAGCCCTTGGGAGTCAGAGGCAGACAGCATGATCTACAAAGTGTGTTTCAGAATAGCCACAGCTGTTACACAGAGAAACCCTGTCTAGAGGGGGAGAAAATGTAAAGAAAGGGAAGTCTACAGGAAATGCTCAGCAAGCATGGCAACTAGAGTTTGAACCCAGAAGCTCATCTAGAAAAGGAGATGAGAAATTCTTGCAGGTTGTTCTCAAATCTGAATAGCTCCTTCCCCTCAAACACACAAATGACCTAGTGAAATAGGTCTGAAATCCGAGAGGCTGAAATGCAGCACAGCTATTAGTGTGTTTGCCTGGCATGCATTTAATTCAAATTTGAATAAGATAAGTCAATCACAGTCTTGGTAAAATAGTCTGAAAGTCTATTAGATGTGATAATTACAATGACTAATATTCTTGTATTTTGCAGAAAATAGTGTCTTCACTGTTTAAGGACAAGAACATACAGGAGAGAAAGTCTTTTACAACTGTTTCTTAAAAACCCTGTGTGTGAGTCGGGAGGTGGTGGCGCACGCCCTTTAATCCCAGCACTCGGGAGGCAGAGGCAGGCGGATCTCTGTGAGTTCGAGACCAGCCTGGTCTACAAGAGCTAGTTCCAGGACAGGCTCCAAAACCACAGAGAAACCCTGTCTCGAAAAAAAAAAACAAAAACAAAAAAAACAAAAAACCCTGTGTGTGTGTGTGTTCACACATAGGCCATAAAAAGACATAAAGACGTTCTCTTCCATCACTCTTGACCTTACTGACTTGCTATAAGGTCTTTTACTGAACTGGAAGTTCACCATTTCTGCTGGGTTTCCTGGGCACCAAGTTTTCTGGGTTTTCCTGTCTCTGCCCACCACACTGTACCAGGCAGGTGCATTCACACCCACATTTTCATCTGAGAGCTGTAGATTCAGATTCAGGCCCTCTAACTTATAGAGCACGTGCTCTTAGACTCTGAATTGTTGCCCACCCCTCCTGAAGATAATTTAACAACGACAAAGAAAACAAATAGTTGAAAGAAACTTGGTAACTGGGGGAAGGAAAGGGGAGGAGGCGGAAATTTTTAATAAAATTTTTAATAAATTAAAAAAATTAAAAAAAAGAAACTTGGTAACTTTCGTTATCTGAGAGAATGTTAGCGTTGGGTGATAGTATCAAGTAAGGAGGAATTAAGTCAGCGTGTACTGAACAACAGCTTCTAGCCATAAAAAATTGCAGCCTGACCATTCTAGTTCTACTAGCAAAAACAATATGCTCAGGTATCAAAACTAAACAATTCACATTGATCCAAGTAAAACCACACACACACACACACACACACACACAATTAGCTACAATTTTCTCATAGGTGTCCCAGCCCCTGTAAAGTTCCTCAACTTTCATCCCATAGAAAGATTCGGCTCCCTCACTGTTCCAATAAAGCAGTCTAAGCACATTGAAATCAAGTTTGCTTCATTTTTTTTTTTACACAGGGTTCACTATTATTTTTTTATTGGTGCTGTTTAAAATATTTCATAATAAGAATTACTGAAAGCATTTTATGATATGTTAATAAAATACAAATTATAAACTATCAAAATGAACAGTAAAGGAGCTAAATACAAAAATATAGGGAACACAGAAAAAAATATTCCCGAGAAACAAGTAGACTTAAAAGCATTTATTATGAAAAAAAGACTGAGAAAAGTAAATACTTAAATGCAAAAGAGGTCATCCATGTTAACTAGACATGTATATTTAACCTGATTTCAACTTTATACAATGTATATATGTATTGAATAGTACCCCACAAATATACCTTCCTTCTATTTTTATGTAACAGTTAAAATCATATTTACTCTACCTGTAGGGAAAGTTCTGAAGTGAAGAGTCCAACATGTAAAATTGTAAGCCTAAACATATTTTGGGAAAATTGAAGCTGACAGCAACTGTTACCTTCTCACAATGGCTTTCTGCCTTCAGAGCAGACATCCCGCAGGTGTCCAAAAGTAAACATTTAACAATGGCTTCCCGGCTGGGTAATTACCCTGGACAAAGGTTAGCACAGAATACACTGTGGTAAATGCACTAAGGCCAGACAAAATTTGTCATAATAAAAAAAATGATTTTGATTAGAGAGACTAATGTACCCAGGGTAGCCCTTTGGCAGAGAGCAGTGAATCCAGGTCTACTGCTTCCTCCTTTCAAGTTTCTCCTTTATCGAATTTCATTGTCGTCTTGCTCTGGAAGATATGTTTGAACAAAATACAGAAAATGTGCTGTTGAAGGAGATACAAGACAGAAGTTGGAAGGATGTGCAGCAAGGCAAATGCATCCCTTTTAACTTGTGAGAGAAAGAGTGCCCTCTGCTGGATACAGATTGCTCTCTCGGATTCCTTTCTTATTGCAATCAGACGCTGGTACGTTTTTTTGAGTTTTTTTTCAATTTGGTAACATGCATAATTACAACGATCGAGTCTTTAGCTCCATCAGAGAACTCAGAAGGAGATAATATTACCTGAGTAAACAGAAAGGGTAAAGCGGGTAACATTTAAAATGAAGAAACGACACCACCTGTCTATTTAAATTAAATTTTTGCCAGGCTGTGATGATGCATGCGTTCAATCCCAGCACTTTCACAGAGCAGAGGCAGATATATCTCACTG